AACACTTAGAACCTGGTAGAAAACGGGATACATTTAGAACCTGGTAGAAAACGGGATACATTTAGAACCTGGTAGAAAACGGGATACATTTAGAACCTGGTAGAAAACGGGATACATTTAGAACCTGGTAGAAAACGGGATACATTTAGAACCTGGTAGAAAACGGGATACATTTAGAACCTGGTAGAAAACGGGATACATTTAGAACCTGGTGAAAACGGGATACATTTAGAACCTGGTAGAAAACAGGATACATTTAGAACCTGGTAGAAAACAGGATGCATTTAGAACCTGGTGAAAACGGGAGGAGTTGAGAACCTGGTAGAAAACGGAATACATTTAGAACCTGGTGAAAACGGGATGCATTTAGAACCTGGTAGAAACGGGATACATTTAGAACCTGGTAGAAAACGGGATACATTTAGAACCTGGTAGAAAACGGGATACATTTTGAACCTGAGAAGAAACGGGATACATTTAGAACCTGGTAGAACGGGATACATTTAGAACCTGGTGAAAACGGGATGCATTTAGAACCTGGTGAAAACGGGAGGAGTTGAGAACCTGGTAGAAAACAGGATACATTTGAGACCTGGTAGAAAACGGGATACATTTAGAACCTGGTAGAAAAGGATACATTTAGAACCTGGTGAAAACGGGATACATTTAGAACCTGGTAGAAAACGGGATACATTTAGAGCCTGGTAGAAAGCAGGAGAGTTGATTTAAAGAAACCTTCTCAATGTTGGGTGGAAGAGGAAGGAAGAGTGAAGGAAGGGGGAAAAGAAGGATGGAGGAGGAGGAAAGAAGAAGAAGGAGGAGGAGAAGAAGTAATAAAAAGAAGGAGGAAGGGAGGAAAAGAAGGTAAGGAAAGAGGAAGGGAAGAAGAGAAGTAATGAAAGAGGAAGGGAAGAAAAAGTAAAAGAAGGTAATGGAAGAAGAGAAGGAAGAAAGAAAAAGGGAAGGGAGGGAAAGAAGTAATGAAAGAAGGTAAGGGAAGAAGAGAAGTAATGAAAGAAGGAAGAAAAGAGGAAGGGTGGGAAAGAAGAAATGAAAGAGGAAAGGAGTAAAAGAAAGAAGGAGAAAGGACAGATGCTGCAAATACTCCCATGAGAGATGCCATCCCCCTGAGGCTATAACAAGGGAATATTAACAAAAATAATACCGATAGTAAAAATTAAGTTATTCCCCCTTACCTGAACACCACGATCGACCAGTGCCACTATAGGCGGGTCCAGTGCCACTATAGGTGGGTCCAGTGCCACTATAGGCGGGTCCAGTGCCACTATAGACCGGTCCAGTGCCGTTATGGGTGGGTCCAGTGCCACTATAGGTGGGTCAGTGCCACTATAGGCGGGTTCAGTGCCACTATAGGCGGGTCCAGTGCCACTATAGGCAGGTCCAGTGCCACTATGGGCGGGTCAGTGCCACTATAGGTGGGTCAAGTGCCACTATGGGCGGGTTCAGTGCCACTATGGGCGGGTCCAGTGCCACTATAGGCGGTCCAGTGCCACTATGGGCGGGTCCAGTGCCACTATGGGCGGGTCAGTGCCACTATGGGCGGGTCCAGTGCCACTATGGGCGGGTCAGTGCCTATAGGCGGGTCCAGTGCCACTATGGTGGGTCCAGTGCCACTATGGGCGGGTCCAGGGCCACTATGGGCGGGTCAGTGCCACTATAGGTGGGTTCAGTGCCACTATAGGTGGGTCAGTGCCTAGGCGGGTCCAGTGCCACTATGGGTGGGTCAGTGCCACTAGGCGGGTCAAGTGCCACTATAGGCGGGTCAGTGCCACTATGGGCGGGTCAGGGCCACTATGGGTGGGTCCAGTGCCACTATGGGCAGGTGTGCACTATAAGGGTGGTCAGTGCCACTATGGTGGGTCAGTGCCACTATGGGCGGGTCCAGGGCCACTATGGGCAGGTCAGGGCCACTATAGGCGGGTTCAGTGCCTATAGGTGGGTCCAGTGCCACTATGGGTGGGTCAGTGCCACTATGGGCGGGTCCAGGGCCACTATGGGCGGGTCAGGGCCACTATAGGCGGGTCAGGGCCACTATGGGTGGGTCAGTGCCACTATGGCGGGTTCAGTGCCACTATGGGCGGGTCCAGTGCCACTATAGGCGGGTCCAGTGCCACTATGGGGTGGGTCAGGGCCACTATAGGCGGGTTCCAGTGCCACTGGGTGGTCAGTGCACTATGGTGGGTCCAGTGCCACTATAGGCGGGTTCAGTGCCACTATGGGCGGGTCCAGTGCCACTATGGCGGGTCCAGTGCCACTATGGTTGGGTCAGGGCCACTATAGGCGGGTTCAGTGCTCACTATAGGTGGGTGTGCCACTATGGGTGGGTCAGTGCCACTATAGGCGGGTTCCAGTGCCACTATGGGCGGGTCCAGTGCCACTATAGGCGGGTCCAGGCCCTGGGTGGGTCAGGGCCACTATAGGCGGGTTCAGTGCCACTATAGGTGGGTCCAGTGCCACTATGGGTGGGTCCAGTGCCACTATGGGCGGGTCCAGGCCACTATGGTGTGCCACTATGGGCGGGTCGTGCACTATGGGTGGGTCAGGGCCACTATGGCGGGTCCAGGGCCACTATGGGCGGGTCAGGGCCTCTATGGCCGGGTCCAGTGCCACTATCGTGGGTCCAGTGCTCACTATGGGTGGGTCCAGTGCCTGGGTGGGTCCAGTGCCCTATAGGCGGGTCCAGTGCCACTATGGGTGGGTCCAGTGCCACTATGGGCGGGTCAGTGCCACTATGGGTGGGTCAGTGCCACTATAGGTGGGTCAGTGCCACTATGGGTGGGTCCAGTGCCACTATGGGCGGGTCCAGTGCCACTATGGGTGGGTCCAGTGCCACTATGGGTGGGTCAGTGCCACTATGGGTGGGTCCAGTGCCACTATGGGTGGGTCAGTGCCACTATGGGTGGGTTAGTGCCACTATGGGTGGGTCCAGTGCCACCTATAGGCCGGGTCCAGTGCCACTATAGGTGGGTCCAGTGCCACTATGGGTGGGTCAGCAGTGCCACTATGGGCGGGTCAGGTGCCACTATGGGTGGGGTCAGTGCCACTATAGGTGGGTCCAGGGCCTATGGGTGGGTCCAGGCCACCATATGGGCGGGTCCAGGGCCTCAGGTGGGTCAGTGCCACTATAGGGTCCAGTTACTATGGGTGGGTCCAGTGCCACTATGGGCGGGTCCAGGGGCCACTATGGGTGGGTCCAGGGCCCATATGGGTGGGTCAGTGCCACTATGGGTGGGTCCAGTGCCACTATGGGTGGGTCAGTACCTGGGGTTCTGGGTCCACTATGGGCGGGTCAGGGCCACTATGGGCGGGTCCAGGGCCACTATGGGTGGGTTCAGTGCCACTATGGGCGGGTCAGTGCCACTATGGGTGGGTCAGTGCCACTATGGGCGGGGTCAGGGCCACTATGGGCGGTCCAGTGCCACTATGGGTGGGTCCAGTGCACTATGGGTGGGTCAGTGCCACTATGGGTGGGTCCAGTGCCACTATGGGTGGGTCCAGTGCCACTATGGTGGGTCCAGTGCCTATAGGTGGGTCCAGGGCCCTCAGGCGGGTCCAGTGCCACTATGGGTGGGTCCAGTGCTACTATGGTGGGTCCAGTGCCTATGGTGGGTCAGTGCCACTATGGGTGGGTCAGGGCCACTATGGGCGGGTCCAGTGCCACTATGGCGGGTCCAGTGCACTATGGGTGGTCCAGTGCCACTATGGGTGGGTCAGTGCCACTATGGGTGGGTCCAGTGCCACTATAGGTGGGTCAGTGCCACTGGGGGGTCCAGGCCACATGGGCGGGTCAGGGCCACTATGGTGGGTTCAGTGCCTATGGGCGGGTCAGTGCCACTATAGGTGGGTCCAGTGCCACTATGGGTGGGTCCAGTGCCACTATGGGCGGGTCAGTGCCACTATAGGTGGGTCAGTGCCACTATGGGCGGGTCCAGGGCCACTATGGGCGGGTCCAGGGCCACTATGGGTGGGTCAGGGCCTGTAGGCGGGTCAGTGCCACTATGGGTGGGTCAGGGCCACTATGGGCGGGTCCAGTGCCACTATGGGTGGGTCAGTGCCACTATAGGCGGGTCCAGGCCACTATGGGCGGGTCCAGTCATGGGTGGGTCCAGGGCTACTATAGGCGGGGTCCAGTGCCACTATGGTGGGTTCAGTGCCACTATGGGCGGGTCCAGGGCCTGGGCGGGTCCAGTGCCACTATGGGTGGGTTCAGGCACTTGGGTGGGTCCAGGGCCACTTGGGTGGGTCCAGTGCCACTATGGTGGGTCAGGGCCACTATGGGTGGGTCCAGTGCTACTATGGGGCGGGTCAGTGCCACTATGGGTGGGTTCAGTGCCACTATGGGCGGTCAGGTACCCTATGGGTGGGTCCAGTGCCACTATGGGCGGGTCCAGTGCCACTATAGGCGGGTCCAGTGCGCCACTATGGGTGGGTCAGTGCTATAGGCGGGTCAGTGCCACTATGGCGGGTCCGTGCACTATGGGTGGGTCCAGTGCACTATGGGCGGGTGGGCCACTATAGGCGGGTCCAGGGCCACTATGGGTGGGTCAGGGCCACTATGGGCGGGTCAGTGCCACTATGGGTGGGTTCCAGTGCCTATGGGCGGGTCCAGTGCCACTATAGGCGGGTCCAGGGCCACTATGGGTGGGTCAGTGCACTATAGGCGGGTCAAGTGCCACTGGGTGGGTCCAGTGCCACTATAGGCGGGTCAGTGCCACTATGGGTGGGTCAGTGCCACTATAGGCGGGTCCAGGGCCACTATGGGTGGGTTCAGTGCCACTATAGGCGGGTCAGTGCCACTATGGGTGGGTCAAGTGCCACTATAGGCGGGTCCAGTGCCACTATGGGCGGGTCAGTGCCACTATAGGCGGGTCAGTGCCACTATGGGTGGGTCAGTGCCACTATAGGCGGGTCCAGTGCCACTATAGGCGGGTCGGGCACCTGGGTGGGGTCAGTGCCACTATAGGCGGTCCAGGGCCACTATGGGCGGGTCAGGGCCACTATGGGGTGGGTTCAGTGCCACTATGGGCGGGTCGAGTGCTATGGGCGGGTCAGGGCCACTATGGGGGTTCAGTGCCACTATGGGCGGGTCAGTGCCACTATGGGCGGGTCAGCGGTGCCACTATAGGCGGGTCCAGTGCCACTATGGGCGGGTCAGTGCCACTATGGGTGGGTGTGCCTATGGGCGGGTCCAGTGCCACTATAGGCGGGTCCAGTGCCACTATGGGTGGGTCAGTGCCACTATGGGCGGGTCCAGTGCCACTATAGGCGGGTCCAGTGCCACTATGGGCGGGTCCAGGGCCACTATGGGCGGGTCCAGTGCCACTATGGTGGGTCAGTGCCACTATGGGCGGGGTCCAGGGCACTATAGGCGGGTCAGGGGCCACTATGGGCGGGTCCAGGGCTATGGGCGGGTCAGGGCCACTATAGGCGGGTCCAGGGCCACTATGGGTGGGCGGTCCAGTGCCACTATGGGCGGGTCCAGTGCCACTATGGGCGGGTCAGGGCCACTATGGGCGGGTCCAGTGCCACTATGGGTGGGTCCAGTGCCTGTGGCGGGTCCAGGGCCACTATGGGTGGGTCCAGGGCCACTATGGGCGGGTCAGGTTCACTATGGGCGGGTCAGTGCCACTATGGCGGGTCAGGGCCACTATGGGCGGGTCCAGGGCCACTATGGGCGGTCCAGGGCCACACTATTTGGCGGGTCAGGGCTATGGGTGGGTCAGTGCCACTATGGGCGGGTCAGTGCCACTATGGGCGGGTCCAGGGCCACTATGGGCGGGTCCAGTGCCACTATGGGCGGGTCCAGTGCCACTATGGGCGGGTTCAGTGCCACTATGGGCGGGTCCAGGGCCACTATGCGGGCGGGGTCAGGCCTGTATCTCGGTAGTAACGTTGTATTGATGTTGTTCATAACTTTGGGTTTATGCCCACAACCACCTCTGTTAACCTGAGCGTCTGGTCGTGCGTTTGTTACGGCGTATTAGTGTTTGTTACTAAGTGTATTGTGTTTGTTACTTCAGTGTATTAGTGTTTGTTACTTCAGTGTATTAGTGTTTGTTACTTAAGTGTATTAGTGTTTGTTACTTAGTGTATTAGTGTTTGTTACCAGTGTATTAGTGTTTGTTACTTGTGTATTATGTTTGTTACTCAGTGTATTAGTGTTTTGTTACTTGAGTGTATTAGTGTTTGTTACTTAGTGTATTAGTGTTTGTTACTTGGTGTATTAGTGTTTGTTACTCAGTATTAGTGTTTGTTACTCAGTGTATTAGTGTTTGGTTACTTAAGTGTATTAGTGTTTGTTACTCAGTGTATTAGTGTTTGTTACAGTGTATTAGTGTTTGTTACTTAAGTGTATTAGTGTTTGTTACTTGGGTGTATTAGTGTTTTGTTACTTGGCTGTATTAGTGTTTGTTACTTAGTGTATTGTGTTTGTTACTCTGTGTATTAGTGTTTGTTACTTGCATTAGTGTTTGTTACTTCAGTGTATTAGTGTTTGTTACTTAAGTGTATTAGTGTTTGTTACTTAAGTGTATTAGTGTTTGTTACTTAAGTGTATTAGTGTTTGTTACTTAAGTGTATTAGTGTTTGTTACTTAAGTGTATTAGTGTTTGTTACTTAAGTGTATTAGTGTTTGTTACTATGTATTAGTGTTTGTTACTCAGTGTATTAGTGTTTGTTACTTAAGTGTATTAGTGTTTGTTACTCAGTGTATTAGTGTTTGTTACTTAAGTGTATTCTTTAGTGAGAGAGAGGTCGAGGATTTTAATTATTACGAGGTACAAGGAGACAACGTGTGTGGGGTGGAAGACAAGAGAACAAATGCCAGTATTCTTATGGACACCAACTGTAGGAGCATCGAGGCTACCATTATCCATGAACAACTACGCTGGACTGGCCATGTTACCTACATGGACGACAGTAGCTCAGCCAGCTACTTTACAGTCACCTAACGAATAGTAAACGTAACGCTGGCGGGCAACTGAAAGGGTATAAGGATAGTCTTAAGACAACCTGAAAAATTGCCAATCGACCCCCACCTGGGAGACGATTACCCTACACCGTAACGCTTGAGGAGCACCACGAGAAGTTGCGTCAATATTGAGTTAGCCCGACTGCATACCGGAGGCAGACGAGCGCCAACGCCGGAAAGACACTGCCGCCGTCCTCCCGCACTAGATGTAGCCCTCCACATGTGCAACATCTGTGATCGACCTGCGGTCCTGTATCGGCCTCTTTAGTTACCTCAGAGCTCACCAAACCAAGGTGACATCCTATAACTCATATCATTGTATCATAGCTGGATGATCGTCACACATAGAGGACAGCAAAGTAGTGTGTGTGTGTGTGTGTGTGTGTGTGTGTGTGTGTGTGTGTGTGTGTGTGTGTGTGTGTGTGTGTGTGTGTGTGTGTGTGTGTGTGTGTGTGTGGCCTTGCAGAATTTGAGCCTTAGAGACCAAATTTCCAAACCTCACAGTAAAAAAAATATCGAGGAAAACTACACTGGGTGAATTGAGTCTTGAATATATATTTTTAAATCCTTTCGATGACATTAATGACCTCACCTCCACAGACCCTGTAACCATCTACCCTCACCCAGGCCCCCCCCGACCCCTAAATTTTATGATAATCTGTTAATAGAGTTCTGGCGGTATGAGGGGGGGGAGGTAGACGGCCCTCCGATAAAATAATGTTTGCAGCATATTTAGGTTCATAGGACACGCCCCTCCTACCCCCTCTCCTCACCCCTCCCCCTCACCCCCCTACCCTCACACGCTACTGATACTTTTTCTCCCACTAATTACCTTGATGGGGTATTAGTCCCTCCCTTCCTCCTCCTCCTCCTTGTTGTTGTTATTAATCTCATAATTAGTTGATCATCGTGAGAATTATTGAGGTAAATTTCCTTGCTCGATATTCTGATGTTTTGTTGATGACGTCATTATTTGGGCCGATGATGCCCTGACGTCATTATTTGGGTCAGATGATGCCCTCTGACGTCATTATTTGGGTCAGATGATGCCCTCTGACGTCATTATTTGGGTCAGATGATGCCCTCTGACGTCATTATTTGGGTCAGATGATGCCCTCTGACGCTTATTTGGGTCAGATGATGCCCTCTAACGTCATTTTCGGGGCCAACTTGAAGCCTATGACGTCATTAATGGTAGTACCGTCATTAAACAGGTGCCGCCTTTTGATCTCTCAGCTAATATGGCTAATGAGGAGACGTGTTTTCAGTTCCATTATGGCCGCTAATTACCTGGTCTCTGGGGTCATTAATTACTGAACACCTGGTAACTTTGAGGTCATTATTGAGAGTGAACACATGTCTACTGTAGGGTTCAGTGAACACGTGTCTAGGGTCATAGTGAACACGTGTCTAGGTCATGGTCAGTGAGCGTGTCTGGGTACAGTGAACACGTGTCTAGGGTCATATTGAACACGTGTCTGGGTAGTGGTCAGACACGTGTTGGGTTAGAGTCATAGGAACACGTGTCAGCATAGGAACACGTGTCTAGGGTCATAGTGAACACGTGTTCAGGTCATAGTGAACACGTGTCTAGGGTCAGGAACACGTGTCTAGGGTCATATGAACACGTGCAGGGGTAGTGAACACGTGTCTAGAGTCATAGTGAACACGTGTCTAGAGTCATAGTGAACACGTGCATAGGGTCATAGAAGTGAGTATAGTGAACACGTGTAGCATAGTGAACACGTGCATAGGGTGGAACGTGTCTAGAGTCATAGTGAACACGTGTCTAGAGTCATAGTGAACACGCATAGGGTCATAGTGAACACGTGTCTAGGGTCATAGTGAACACGTGTCTAGGGTTAGTGAAAACGTGTCTAGGGTCATAGTGAACACGTGTTCAGTCATAGTGAACACGTGTCTAGAGTCATAGTGAACACGTGTCTAGAGTCATAGAAATACGTGTTATGTTATTGGTGTTGAAGTGTTACGTTAATCTGTTGTGTTACTTTAATCTGTTGTGTTACGTTAATCTGTTGTGTTACGTTAATCTGTTGTGTTACGTTAATCTGTTGTGTTACGTTAATTATGTTACTTTAATTGTTGTGTTACGTTAATCTGTTGTGTTACGTTAATCTGTTGTGTTACGTTAATGTGTTGTGTTTAATCTGTTGTTGTTAATCTGTTGTGTTACGTTAATCTGTTGTTTTTATGTTAATCTTTTGTTACGTTAATCTGTTGTTACGTTAATCTGTTGTGTTACGTTAATCTATGTTTATGTTACGTTAATCTGTTGTGTTACGTTAATCGTTTTATGTTGTGTTACTTTAATCTGTTGTGTTACGTTAATCTGTTGTGTGTTAATCTGTTGTGTTACGTTAATCTGTTGAGTTATTTTTAATCTGTGTTACGTTAATTCGTTGTGTTACGTTAATCTGTTGTGTTACGTTAATCTGTTGTGTTACGTTAATGTGTTGTGTTACTTTTAATCTGTTGTCGTTAATTCGTTGTTACGTTAATCTGTTGTGTTACGTTAATCTGTTGTGTTACGTTAATCTGTTGTGTTACGTTAATCTGTTGTGTTACTTTTAATCTGTTGTGTTACGTTAATCTGGTGTTACGTTAATCTGTTGTGTTACTTTAATCTGTTGTGTTACGTTAATCTGTTGTTACTTTAATCTGTTGTGTTACTTTATTGTTGTGTTACGTTAATCTGTTGTGTTACTGTTAATCTGTTGTGTTACGTTAATCTGTTGTGTTACGTTAATTCGTTGTGTTACGTTAATCTGTTGTTACTTAATCTGTTGTGTTATCTTTAATCTGTTGTGTTACTTTAATCTGTTGTGTTACGTTAATCTGTTGTGTTACGTTAATCTGTTGTGTTACTTTGTTATCTGTTGTGTTTTTATCTGTTGTGTTGTTAATTGTTGTGTTACGTTAATTGTTGTGCGTTAATTGTTGTGTTACGTTAATCTGTTGTGACGTTATCTGTTGTGTTACTTTAATGTTGCGTGTTAATTTGTTGTGTTACGTTAATCTGTTGTGTTACTTAATCTGTTGTGTTACGTTAATCTGTTGTGTTACTTTAATCTGTTGTGTTACGTTAATCTGTTGTGTTACGTTAATCTGTTGTGTTACGTTAATCTGTTGTGTTAAATGTTACGTTAATCTGTTGTGTTACGTTAATCTGTTGTGTTACGTTAATTTGTTGTGTTAAGTGTTACGGTAATCTGTTGTGTTACGTTAATCTGTTGTGTTACGTTAATCTGTTGTTACTTTAATCTGTTGAAGGTTGTCATGGCTGTTCTCGTAGTGGTCTAAGTGTTGATTATATTATATAAAGATTATAATATATTGTTTCTTACATTTCTTACCGTAGAGTTGGATACCTTCACACCGGTTACTTCAGGAGATAATGGCGTAGAAACTCACTCCACCACCCGACATTCCATGATTTATACTTGATGAATGATGATTTAATGAGTTCCATTAATGTCCAATATCCATCTACTTTGTTATAACCAATCAGTCATTACCTTTAGGATCACAGATACGGGCAGATAATTGCACTTACATTTATTTGTCAAGCTTCCATGCAATGATTTACAATTTGCATGGATATATGAGTCACTTACATTCACGCTGGAATAAAATTAATCTTCTAAAAGAGGTAATTTATCAACTTGGGGACACATGTGGTTGGCTCTACTGTGGGTATGACTTCACAGAGCCTTAATTCTTCAAGTGATACATTTACTGCCAGCCTGGATTGCTCTTGTCGCAACCAGGCTTCCGCACTTAATATTCTTTCCACGGGGAATACCACCTAGGTTAACACTCTTAGTCTCGTGTCACTGATGGTCCACAGGGCGGGGTGGCGGTGGAGGACTCTGGGTGGTGTCCCATTCCCTTCAGGAGGGAGAGGGTGGGGACGACGTCTTAACTAACCCATGGCCTAGGGATACATCATCAAATGTGGTTTTGGGGCGTGAGGCGATGAACAGTACAACACTGTCTCACTGGCCTCCCCCTATAGGCTGGCTAGCATACCACTAATGGAAAAAATTTGTATTAATCATGGGTCGCCGGGGGTCTTATATCTAGTAAAACAAACTTTGGAGTAAGTTGCGTGGGTGAGCCTAACGCAACCCATGACAAAGGTGTTACGTTAATCTGTTGTGTGTTACGTTAATGTGTTACTTTTGATCTCAATTTAATTTATTTCTCTTTTATTTCAGTGTCGCTTCTCGTGTTGACCTCTAGGTGGAGATGTCGTCAAAGGGTGAAGGTAAGTCCGTGTGGTGGTGTTTTAGTTTTCGTGGTTTTAATGCTAGTTGGGTTTTTATTTTCTGGGGTTTTGTTTTAAGGTTTTGCGTTTTAATACTGTGTGGTTTTGGGGATCCGTCAGGGGTGGTGTTTGTGGTGAGATTTTGGGGTGATTTTAATTTTCTGGTCGATTAGTTTTTTTATCCCTTGAATTTTATAGAAGGATTTCAAGGAATTTTTAGGGTGATTCTGGTGACATTTTGGGTAGATACTAATGTTTTTGTATCTGCTTTATTTCTTCCTTCCACCGTTAAGTTTATAAACAAATCGAACATAGAGATTAGTTCTACTGTTTATTGTAGTTTGTATTGACACTGTCTTAAGCACAGCCGTTCTCTTGTGTAGGAAGACAGATGTAAGTTAGGTCATACATACTTCATCCTCTGGCAGCTGCTGTAATGTTGGCACACACGACCCCTTTCCTTCAACCCCCCCTCCTTCTAACCCCTCCCGACCTTCCCTCAACCCCCTCCACGTCCTTCCCTCAACCCCTCATCCGCCCTTCCTCAACCCTCCTCCGTCCTTTCCTCAACCCCTCCTCCACGTCCTTCCCTCAACCCCCCCTCCACGCCCTTCCTCAACCCTCCTCCACGTCTTCCCTCAACCCCTCCTCCACGTCCTTCCCTCAACCCCTCCTCCACGCCCTTCCTTCAACCCCTCCTCCCGCCCTTCCTTCAACCCCCTCCTCCACGCCCTTCCCTCAACCCCTCCTCCACGTCCTTTCCTCAACCCCTCCTCCCGTCCTTCCCCCAACCCCTCCTCCACGTCCTTCCTCAACCCCTCCTCCACGTCCTTCCTTCAACCCCTCCTCCACGTCCTTCCTCCAACCCCTCCTCCACGCCCTTCCCTCAACCCCTCCTCCACGTCCCTTCCCTCAACCCTCCTCCACGTCCTTCCCTCAACCCCTCCTCCACGTCCTTCCTTCAACCCCTCCTCCACCCCCTTCCCTCAACCCCTCCTCCACGCCCTTCCCTCAACCCCTCCGCCCTTCCTCAACCCCTCCTCCACGTCCTTCCCTCAACCCCTCCTCCCGTCCTTCCCTCAACCCCTCCTCCTCCTTCCCCCTCCTTCACCCTCCACGCCCTTCCCTCAACCCCTCCTCCACGTCCTTTCCTCAACCCCTCCTCCACGTCCTTCCTCAACCCTCCTCACGTCCTTCCCTCAACCCTCCTCCACGTCTTCCTTCAACCCCTCCTCCACCCCTTCCCTCAACCCCTCCTCCGCCCTTCCCTCAACCCCTCCTCCGCCCTTCCCTCACCCCTCCTCCGCCAAGTTACAATTTTAGTTCGGATAGGAGTGGAACCAGTGGGATAACACCACGACAGGTCTCATAACACCATCTGGAACACCACGTGAGTCCTGGAGTGTCCTCTACATCTGTGAGGGTTACCACCAGTCAGGTCCCTCATGCACCATCTGTGAGGGTTACTACACCACGTCAGGTCCCTCATAACACCATCTGTGAGGGATTACTACACCACGTCAGGTCCCTCATAACACCATCTGTGAGGAGTTACTACACCACGTCAGGTCCTCGTAACACCATCTGTGAGGGAGTTACTACACCACGTCAGTCCTCATAACACCATCTGTGAGGGAGTTACTACACCACCTGTTTGCTCTTCAACACCACAGCCCACCTAACCTACGTGACCTTCTGTAAACATCAATCTGTCTGTTCACGTAACGTATCCTGTCATATCGTATCGTATCCGTAACTTGCACAAACCAGTCCTGTGCTTTATACCGTGATAATTCGGGTAAGATTCCGGCTTCAGTTCCGTGTAATTTACTTTGACCCGCTTCCTACTGAGGAGGGAGGAGGGAGGGGAGGGAGGAGGAGGAGGATTCCTGACTGTGAAAGGAGCGACTATCCCTCCCCCACCCCCTCCTCCTCCCCCCCACTCCCGCAAACTCCTTCGACTTAGCTATACTCCGGCTCGGGGATTACCGGCAGCGGAGATGAGGAAAAAAATGGTCGGCGGGATGAAGTACTTGAATACACGGCTTTCACGGTGAGATGCTGAGGGTGGGGGGGTGAGGAGGAGAGGAGAGTGTGGGAGGGAGAGGGAGAGGTGTGAGGGAGGAGAGTGTGAGAGGGCTGGGAAAACAACTTGGGTGATGATTCTACTGGATCTCTCTCTCTCTCTCTCTCCTCTCTCTCTCTCTCTCTCTCTCTCTCTCTCTCTCTCTCTCTCTCTCTCTCTCTGTATGTATTTGTGTGTATGTATGTATGTATGTATGTATGTATGTGTGTATGTAGCGTGTGGTGTGTCAGACGTTGAGGACTGTGGCGGCACTCAGAGATGTAACTTAACATTGTCCAAGTGTAGTGAAAATGTACACCGTTTTGTTATCTTGTTCTCGCTGTCTCCCTCTGGCCTCTGTTTATCCATCATGGTGGCGTCTTTCTATCCTGACTTGACTGATAGTGTTTACCGCCAGTCAGGGATGTGTTTTTTTTTTTAAGGTAATAAATTTTGGTTATCGTTATATTTCTTATCACACACACACACACACACACACACACACACACACACACACACAGACACACACACACACACAGACTTACACACGCAGACAGACAGACAGACAAACACCTATCCACTCACGCACACATGAAACACACAGCCGACACACACACTCACACAAGCACTTTTCCAGCACAAAGTTTTCATGCAGCATTTTTTTTGGGAGGGCGTGGAGTGGGGTGTGAGTGGTGTAGTGAGTGTGTGTACCGGTGGTGTTGCCAGGCGCGTGATGCTGGTGGGGGGGGAGGTGGGGGGCAGGGGGGTGGGGAGGTGGGGGAGGGGTGGCACTAGCGTCGTGACCCGGAGACAGAGTGGCACCTAGGGCCATCTGTCTTGCCTGGCTCAGCCCTCTTCTCCTCAAGGTCCCAATTCTCAAAAGGTTCCTGTGTTAAATTTTCTCCCTAACTGGAGATATGAGAGCGCATCTATCTGACTCACTTAAGATGCGACGTAAAGATGGATTCTCAGAGGCGCCCAAACTGGAGAGAGAGAGAAACACAATTACTAGCAAGAAATAATGGTAGAATTTCAAGAGGATTTTAAAAAGATATTGTTGTCTATGTTTTAAAGGTTGGTTTACCTGTTCCGTCTCGTTTCTGTTCCGTCTCGTCTCTGTTCCGTCTCGTCTCGGTTCCGTCTCGTCTCTGTTCCGTCTCGTCTCTGTTCCGCCTCGTCTCTGTTCCGTCTCGTCTCTGTTCCGTCCCGTCTCTGTTCCGTCTCGTCTCTGTTCCGCCTCGTCTCTGTTCCGTCTCGTCTCGGTTCCGTCTCGTCTCGGTTCCGTCTCGTCTCGGTTCCGTCTCGTCTCTGTTCCGCCTCATCTCTGTTCCACCTCGTCTCTGTTCCGTTTCGTTTCTGTTCCTCGTTTCTGTTCCGCCTCGTCTCTGTTCCGTCTCGTCTCTGTTCCGTCTCGTCTCTGTTCCGTCTCGTCTCTGTTCCGTCTGTTTCTGTTCCGCCTCGTCTCTTTCGTCTCGTTTCTGTTCCGCCTCGTCTCTGTTCCGCCTCGTCTCTGTTCCGTCTCGTCTCGGTTCCGTCTCGTCTCTGTTCCGTCTTCTCTGTTCCGCCTCGTCTCTGTTCCGCCTCGTCTCTGTTCCGCCTTTTCTCTGTTCCGCCTCATCTCTGTTCCGTCCCGTTTGTATTTCTGGAAGAATACAG